TGCTGCAGCATTTGTTGATAAGTTGTTTGTGGAGATATATGTGGTACTTGTTGATGTGGTGTTTGTTGTTGGAGCTTTTGTTGAGAATGTTGTTGCATTTGTTGAGAATGTTGTTGCATTTGTTGAGATGTTGTGGCATTTGTTGAGAATGTTGTGGCATTTGTTGAGAATGTTGTGGCATTTGTTGGGGTTGTCGCGGCATTTGTTGAAATTGTCGCGGCATTTGTTGAGGTTCTTGCACTATTTGTTGAGGTGGTTGCACTATTTGTTGAGGTGGTTGCAATATCTGTTGAGGTTGTTGAGGTGGTTGCAATATCTGTTGAGGTTGTTGAGGTGGTTGCAATATCTGTTGAGGTTGTTGAGGTGGTTGCAATATCTGTTGAGGTTGGTTTAGTGTTTCCTCTTGCAGTATTTGTTTAGGTTGTTCAGGTTGATTAGTTATTTGTTGTTGAGGTAATTCCGGATTGGAAATTTTCAAATCTTTTAAATCCTCCATCACTCCCCACTCATAAATTTCTTGCAACTGCATCATTAATTTTTTTCGATATTTTTCCACTCGTTTTTCGCGATCTTCCTCTTCCTCCTTTTCTTCCTCCTCTTCCTCTTCAATTTCAAAATCACATTTGATTAACGGCGATTCATGTTCACTTGGTAGCAGTTGATATAATTGTGGATCTGTTTGTTCGTTTGTTTGTTCAGTAATACCAAGTTCCTGTTGTTGAGTTTGCAACTGAAGTTGCTGTTGTTCCTGTTGGTGCTGAAATTCAGTTGCTGAAAAAAACGTTGAAAATAATGGGTTTGGAGATGACAAGGTGGTCGATGTCACCTCTGATGATGACGTCGTACAAAATGATGATGATGATAGTGATGATGACCATGATGAGTCATCACAATAGAACGATGAATCTACAAAATTGTTAGACGGCCTTGACTGGGAAGACATTTTCAAATTTCACAGCTTTCGTATTTGTTAAAGTTGTTTAAATAAACGAATTAATCATACATCGCTAAACCACCTCTTATATACCTACTCGTCGAGAAGTTTAGCAAAATTTTACAATGTTAATTCTTCATTGGCTAATTACAAGAATCAACTTTGTCAATTAAAAAGTTATAATTTAAACTTTCCATTATTTTACGACCTGTTATAATTTAAAATATAAAGAGGAACACTTTAATTATTGACTTTGAGTTGATAGCTACTTTGCTTTTTATTGGCTAACACAGGCGAACTTGTCCATCTCGTTAATTAATTGAGACTCACGATCAATTATATGAAAGTATTCATTACATTTACGACACCATGGTTTTAAAATCAACTTTAAGTTAATTGAAAGAGATTTTATATGTTTAATAAAGATTTTACGAGTTTGAATCGATAGCTGCTTTATCACTTTGCATTTTATTAACTAACGCAGCCGATCGAGTCAATAAACTAATTAATTACCATCTACCGATCATTTGAAAGTATTCTTTTAATACATTTATGACACAATTTTATTCATTTAAATCAACTTTGAATTTACTAATAGAGATTGTATATGTCTAGTAAAATTTATTCGAATTCTACTTACTAACAGTCGTGAAGGAAAGTTTTTGGAACGGTTTAACCCAATCAACAACATCTTGGATAGTGAATTTTTCATCAATAATATTGGATCTTAATTTTTTCATTGATTGTATTGGATCTTCATTTTTTCAAAAATAAATCAATCCATCTTTAAAACGGTAATATTTTCACTCTATCATTTTTTTCAAAAATTCTAAAAAATATACTTAACCATTAGTGCTTTACTTTTGTCTGAGTGATGGAACTTTCACGTTTCAAATACGCGTGTGTCTATTCTGATGGATTTGAATAGATGTCTTACATTTTATGAAAACGGAGTAAATTGCCGAATCTTATATACATATAAATTATGATTACATTTTAATTTAATTAAATTTGATTTAAAGTTTAATCAATGTTTATGACATATATGTATCATTATTTCTAATACGGAATAATAAATTTACTCTATGATATATGTAAATTGTAACTTTAAGTTTTTTAATATCCTGTAATACCAGACGCATGTCAAATGGAAGTTATGAATGTCTCTAATTACGGATGGAAATATGAACAGAAGAAATTTTAAGAAAAATAAATTAAAAAAAAATTCAAATTTGAGTGAACATTCAGCTGGTCAAAAATGCTAACAATTGTGATGGTAACATTCATAGCACTAACAACAACACCAGTAACAACGCAACCGTTGATTTAGCCTTGAGTGCCTTGTTGCATCGAGATATGCCGAACTAGTCCGTTACGTTATTCGTAATGATTCAGTCAATGGCCACTTGCAGAGGTTGGCGTTGCAGTTGTAACTGTCATCATCGTCGTCATCATCACATCATTTTGATTATCACCGTCATCGTTATCACCACCATCACCATTTAAATCTTTATGGTTCCTAACGTTTAGTCCTCTTCAACATCATTAATGTGATGTAATGTCTAATTATCGTTGAAAAAATAAATGACTCAAAGATTCCAGAGCAAAATTTCATTAATTATTGTGTAATTATGTCTTGAAAATGAGCTTTTTATTAAATAAACAATCAGCAGTAATACGAATTTCTGGTTTATTTATAATCAAAATGAAAAATTAATAACTTTAAAAAAACAAAATGAAGACAGAATGCATTTTAGCAGCGGATTTACATAAAATAAAACATTGAATTCATTCACTTTCGTTGCTCATTTAATATGGTATTTCAAATTCAACAAAAAAAAATTTTACTAGAAAAAATTTCATAAAGAATGAAAAATTAAATTAGTAAAAAAAAGTATTTTGTTATAATTAATTAATTAATTAATTTATTTATAATTATTATTCTTATAATTAATTATAATTATGTCTTTTCTTTATTAAGTTCTTGAACAAATTCCTCTAGAAGCTCTAGTACGTGTCGGACTTTTTCTGAAATTATTAGTTTTTATAAATATTTAAAATAGATATATAATTTTTATTATAATTTAATTATAAATAATAATACGTTAAAAAGGCCAACAAGTTTAACACAAGATCACAGCTACTATGCTATTTTTAATACAATTTTCGAAGCTTTATATCTTAATAAAATTTCGACTAATTTTGTTTTCAATAACTTCTCTAAATTTATCCCTTAATAAAATTCACTCATAATAAAACTCTCTCGAAATTATTTCAAAATTAATTTCATAATAAATCCTTTGATTGTTATTATCAATTTAAATTAGCCAAATGAAATCTAACTTATTTCATCAGCGAGTTCAACTCGCTTGCCTTTTAGTAGCTGCTTCATTTTGGCTTTATCATCGTATATCTCGTCCAGCACTTGCTTCACATCTTGCTCCAATCTTCTGGCTGTTGAGAATTTTATTACTTTAAAAATTAATTATGGCTAAGTTATAATTATTATCAATAACAATAATAATAGGCTCAAACTGAATAATGAAAATACGATTTAAATGACAAAATAGCGATCAAAATGACCAACTGATGATTACAAGATAATATCATAGCAATAACAAAGTCAATAAAAAAATATTTAATGTTGAAAACAAAAGGAAAAAAAACAGAAAATACAAAAAGACAATAGAGACTTTCGTTATTCATAATTTGCTGTCTCAGAGCTTTGCTGGTAGCCTGAAGCATCCTTTCCACCCTCCAGAACAACACAACGTCACTGCAGTCGACCTTGACATTGACATGGGTAGGGTAACTAATTAATCAACCAACCATTGTAATAAATTAACTCAAGCAATCGATCATTTATTATACACTAATGTTGTTCTCTTCAGCCTCTCTTGACAAATTAACTATTTCAGATTCAAGTCCAAACACTCTTACTCTTATATGCGTTCAACCAACCAAACAACCATTCAATCAACCAACCAACCGACTGACCAGCCAACCAACAACCATCAGCCAACCAACCAACCGAATTATCTTGAAAACCCTGCTGATAATAATAGAAGCCCTTCTGGCAGTTTGCTGCTGTGATGAGTCTCCTGGCGAGAAAGTGCTGCCTGTACATTATATGCCACGTTTTCTCTATCTAATTGATTAATTAATTAATTAACAAATTAATTGTATAATTAATTAAAAATAGAGAATGATAAATGCTATAATTTGAGTTCCACGTAAAATTTACAACATAACTCAAATGAAATTGGGTAACGAAAGAAAACAACCAACAAAATCATCTTGGACGTCGATTGATTGGGCTTCAAGGTTCTTCCTAACTGCAATTAACTCATCCTTTCCGAGCTTTGAACTGTGCATCAACTTCAAATTTTCATAACCACCATCATTATTAGGCATGTCATTATCATCTTCATCACTATCAAACATATCGTCATCATCTTTATCATCAAACATCTACATTAAAAATAATCCAGCCTAGCTTTACTATAATTACATTAAGAACTAACTTACCCTTACCCACATACAACTCTACCATCACTAGGAACAATCTATCAGCCATATTCATGACAGCCACATAGCAAATAAACAGCCCCCAGTGTCACCCCTAGCAGAAACGTCCTCACACAGAGATAGTGTAGCGGTATAGTGTTCGATCTTCCACGTTGCAGTGATCAGATTCGAATGCAAGTCTAATCAGAAGCAAATGTGTATAACTGTATCTGTACTGTACTTTCGAGAAATGGAAAAATACCTTGATATAACTTACATTTCCACCGAGTAGCATCTTATCCAACTCATTCTTCACGGATCTTCTGAGGGACTGTTCCTCCGATCGAGACATCCAGTACATGTACTTCTGCCAAAACGATGGTCCTAGCATGTCTCGCATCACGTGCTCGCCTACGATCGTTACGAGGATTAGTGATTATTATTGGTGATTATGATTAAGTGGGGATGAAGAAACAAACTTTCAACCAGCCTACCAACTGACCAACCAACTAACCAAAAGCCAACCAACCAGCCAATCAACCGACTAACCAACTAAACAACCAACCAACCAATCAACCAACCAAACCAGCCAACCAGTCTACCAACTGACCTTGAGATTTTTTATTGAGAAGAACTTTCCTCATGAATACAATGGCATCATCCCATTGTTGTCTGTTGTGCACCGAACGATCTTCCAACGTGTTCATCTGTATGACTCTCTGTATAGTTAGTATAAACAATAAAAATGCATGTGTCGGCGTTCATTGATCTAGTGTCGTTTCGAAACGAAATGAAATTTTCTAGCAAGTAATAAAATCGAAGGGAGAAGTAATTAATATCACAAGGTTGACCGGAGTAAAAATTTAAAAAATCTACTGAGTCTAGCCACCCAACAGTTTATTCAAAGCATTACCAATCGGTTTGCAAGAAAAAAGATATCTAAGACTATTTTAACACTGAACAAACTATTTATTAAAAAAAATTATCATTAATAAATTTTCTTTAAAAGAAAACACAAAAAAATCCCAAATTAAAACAATAAAAACAAAACTGCCAAAAATGCCTAAAAATGCCAAAGAAAAACTCACAAGGCTGTTAATAGCTTGCTGGTCCCATTTCAAACGTTTCTTCAACTCCTCAACTATCTCTTTCTTCAGATCATGAAATACGTCATTATCATTTGACGCTGCTACTGCTGTTGCTGCTGCTGATGACGACGTCAGTAAGTTTAGAAATTCTTCTAATAATGTTTCTCTGGCGACCTTTTATACAAAACAATACAATACAATACCTTTTATACAATACATTTTATACAATACAACACAATACAATACGATACGATACGATATAATACAATACAATCCGATACAATATGATACGGTACGAAACAATACAATACAAACATCAATAGATTTCTTCGGCAAGATCTTATCAGCCCACTGTTTCAACTTGATGTCAATGGCCGTGTTAAAGATACTGTCAAATAATACAACAATGACAGATGGACGGTTTAAATTCATAATTAATTTGATTCATAATTATAAATAATTATAATTATAAATAATTATAATTATAAACAATTATCATCATCATCATCATCATTATCAAAACGTACCCAGCATTCTCAGCGTGAGCCGCTGGTAGGTAGATATTTTCAAAGAAATGAGTGGAAACTTCGCTCCAGAGATTTTCCGCTATCACTTCTTCCCTGAAAAAAAAAATTAATTTCATAAATAAAAGTGAATTTACATTTTTAAAATATTGAAACGATAAATAAGTCAAATTAAATTTAGTTAAAGTAAAATTTAATTAGGCCAATAACTGATTCAATGTAAAATTTAATTTAAGTGAAGGACCATTTCATGGCTGATATGTTACTGAGGTTGACAACTTCGTCCAGTATGTCTCCTCTTGCTTTTTCATACAATTCTTCCTACAAACAATACACATTAACGTATATGTTGTAAACACACACTCACACACAAACAAAGACAGACAGGCAGACACACACATGTACAAATGCAAGCACACACACACGCACTAGACAACACAGAAACGTGATAACATTAACATGACATCGATGTAAGATAGCATGACATCAAAACGACGTCGAAATAACATCACACGACAACCTCATGACATTACAAGACATAAAATTACGTCACTAACCCTATCCATCTCTCGAAATTTGGGATACGTGTTTTTCCATTCAGTTTCCAGGTTGAATTTAGTGGCTGCAATAAACATCAAGTGATCATTACCATTACTACCAATACCGTACTACTACTATTACTGCTACTACTACTACTGCTGCTGCTACTACTACTACTACTACAACTACCACCACCACCACCACCACCACCACTATTACTACTACTACCACTACTACTACAACTACTACTACCACCAGCATTATTACTACTACTAACAACAACCTTTGAAGGCATCGGCCTGCTGTTCAACAGATTGTCTGACCATCTGCCAGAAGCACTGAGAAACAGCGAGGCACAAGTTCATTGTGCCCATTTGGTGGGCCCGTAAAACGCCCCCTCTACAAATTTTTATAATTTTATTATTATTGCTGTTGCTGTTGTTATTATTATTATTGTTGTTGTTGTTTTGTAAATTAAAATCGTTGCTACAACGAATAATTCAAAGAACGAACTTGAAGAGTTTGGATTGTTTGAAAAATCTTTCTTCGTAGTCTTTTATTTTCTGGATTGAATCATTTGAGTTGCCTTGCAAAGCAATTTATTAAAAACCATCATTGCTAGAATAATTAAAAGTAATAGTAGTAGTGGTAAGAGCAGTTGCAGCGGTAGAAGTGGCAGCAGTAATGATAGTGGTATAATTTTTTGGTTGTTTAAATACAATCTCTCTGTAATATTTCACAAAGGAACCAACAACAAACACACAGCAAATGTAAAAACAAGTAAGTCAACTGCAATAACGGTGCCAGACGTCTTACTGATTATACCATCGTGCCGACCAAACGGTAAATGACATGTAGTTACACCGACGATAACCTTTCCCGGTGACGACAGCGAAGTAGCCCATGGCTTTCATTGGAAATAATTTCCCTTCTAAAATCTTTCTAATCTGGGAAAGGATTTGGAATAAATTGAATAAATATTGTCGGCCTTCTAGCATTCATACATTCATTCATTCATACATTCATCCATCCATTCATCCATCTATCCATCCATCTATCCATCCATCTATCCATCCATCCATCCATCCATCCATCCATACATACATACATCCATACATACATACATCCATTCATTCATTCATTCATTCATTCATTCATTCATCCATTCATTCATTCATTCATTCATTCATTCATTCATTCATTCATTCATTCATTCATTCATTCATTCATTCATTCATTCAATCACCCATCCGTTCATTTATGGATTCATTCTTCCAACCCATCCATCCGTTCCTTACTCGATCTGGATTATGTAGCATGGACTCGGCCAGGTCAACCTTGGTCAGCACGAAGATGGTTCGCCTGCCACTGGGGTCCATACTACTGACAAGATCTGTCACGTTGCTTCGTTCCGCGTCAAGTGAGCCGTCTGTTGGTTCATAACTTTTTTTAAATAATTAAATTTTTTGAAAAGAAATGGTGCTAATGAAATTATGAATTGCTGACAAAGATAAGATGATAATGACGAGAATGGATAAATAAAGTGATTAAATGATGACAAAATGATAACGAAATGATGAGGAAACGACGATAATACAAAGACCAAAGTGATAGAATCAGGGCGATAAAAGTATGTAATAAATAGTTCAATGATTACAATAGGAATGATTCATTCTAGTGTAAGGGAACCTTGTATGCATAGGATGATGGAGTTAGGGTTGGACATGTGGTGCTGGCACATCTTCTTTATCTGTTCTCTTGTGTCATCTGCCATGTCAGTAGTAACGGTCTGCATGATTGGAATCGGTAAGTCGATTATTCGGTCGGTCCTTTAATCGGTCAGTCGGTTGGTCCATAAATTAGGCAGTCGGTTGATCGGTCAATCGGTCTTTTAACCAATTAGTTAGTAGTTTCTCCATCAATCAACCAATTAATCAACCAAACAACTAATTAATCAACCAATCAGAGTGCACGATCCACTAACACTAATAACTCCTGGCAAATCGACGAGCACCATTCTTTGCAGGCCAGGTCCTTTCACACTGAGAGATACAGTCTTCCATTCAAGAATGCATAAATTATGTTAATTAAAATGTATCTTGCATAATATTATGTTAATTGAAATGCATAATATTAAGTGAGACTTATGCTTCATTTGCTGAATAATTTTAATCTTGGAAAAGCAATCAATAAAGGCTGGCAAGTTTTTAAGGTCTCAAGCCAATTATTTTATTGCTAATATTACTATTAATGTAATTATTATTGTTGTAATAATAATAATAAAATAACAATAATGATAATAATAATTATTATAATTATTATTCCTAGTTACCTCTTGACTGACAGTTTGATCTTTGCGGAGACTACTCTTCATCCTTCTCTCTATCTCTCTTCTTAAACTGTCCAACTATCATTCGTTAATTAATCATCATCATCATCGTCGTCGTCATCCTCATCCTACTTGATGATGGCATCATACGTGATGATTACATCATCATCGTCATCATCATCAGGAACATCGTCGTTGCCATCATCATCATCATCCTCATTATTATTACCATCACCATCATCATCATCATCGTCATCATCATCGTCATCTAACATCAGACTCCTTAGTGAGGTCGTACTCTTTGGCGTCATCCTTCAACCTGGCCACGTGATAAGGACCCTCACTCATTGTCACTTGCACCGGTGATTTCGTCATCATCTCCCCAGAACCTCTGAGTCAGTCGGTGAATGAGTGAATACATGTACGAATGAATGCCATCACCATCATCTCTCTAGTATTAGCACAACTGAAACACAATTACTCCGAACTCAAATCAAAAACATTTTACGAAAAAAAAAATTTTTTTACGCACACGCAATCAGTCACACATTCAACATAACTTCCCAGCTTATTATCAATCCAGAAAGCCCGCCACCACAAAATGCCAAACGCCTACCTACTTAACTACCTACCTACCTACCTAGGAAATATGCGCGCCTGAACGATCATCTCCAGGACACTGGTCTTGCCGGCACTCTGATCCCCGATGACGACGACGCGAGGAAGTTGGTCTTGGACGTTATACGTCATGTCGTAATCGGATAGGGAGTCCAAGACTTCAGAGTACATGTCTATCAGAGAGCGCTGTTTGTTTGTTTGCTTGTATGTTTGTTTGCATGTTTGTTTGCTTGTATGTTTGTGTGTGATGTTCTGTTTGCATATAACAAACTTTAATCTTTTTCTTGTGCAATCCATCTTTCTCTTTAAGCAGGAGACTCTTCTTAAGCTCCCTGTTCTCCTTCTCCAACTTCTCAATCTCTTTCTGAAATCTAATCTGCTTGGGTTGCGTTGATCACCGCAAATTCACTGAGAGATATCTCAATGATGTATCACTGATCATCATCATCATCATCATCATCATCATCATCATCATCATCATCATCATTATCATCATCATCATTACTATCCCGACCAATCACATCATCCTCACCCTTATCATCACCACATAATCATCATCATCATCATCTTAACCATTTATCAAACGACCAATCATCATCATCATCCTAACCAATTATCAATGTCATCATCATACTGACCTGCTGATGCACAAGCTCTTGTTGTAGCTCCTCCAAAGACTGACCACTCCGTCCTCCATGAGGTGATGATGATGATGATGATGTAGAGTCCGATGATGATGATGGAGAATCAGACGATGATGATGATAATGTAGAATTAGATGATGAAGTTGATTCATTTTTATGCACATTAACTTTTACTACTTTGGGTATGTATAGAGCTTCTGAGCCTTTGATATTGAGATGTGTTGTGTATTTATGTACACATTTGTATGTATGTATGTATGTGTGTTAGTGTACATGTATCGGTGTGTGTGTGTGTGTGTGTGTGTGTGTGTGTGTGTGTGTAGATATAGATATAGTCATCAAGTAAATGTGTCAATGTAAAATATACAAATAGGTGAGATGGTTTGATGTACGAAAATAAATTATGTACATAATAATAATAATTAATAATAATAATATTAATAATAATTGAATGAATGCAGCGGTAATAATGGGAGAAATGTTTAAAAGTTAACCTTGAAGTAAATAGTTGTTCAGCTGGTTAGAGAAAACTGAGAGGTTTAACCTATCTGTTGTGTAAAAATATTTTCAAACATTTTTTTCACCAATTTATTCATAAACAAAAATTGAATGGACGGAAATAATCTGAAACATTATGATCCAATAAACATATAAATCTAACATAAATAATATTAAAAGTAACAGTAAATAATTAATTAAACAAATTAATGAAGTTAAAGTGCTATTCATTGATCTACCTTGCACCATCTCTGTCAACCTTTCAACATCTATTGGAAAATTTTTGGAAGAATTTTTCTGCAAACCAGATTTTTTTTTTCGCTGTTTTGTTGTATAAAATTTAAAATATTAAAAACTCAAATACATTATTAATCTAAATCTAGCCAGCAAGTTTGAGAAACATCAAAAATTAATGTTCGACTTAAATCAAAATTTTGTTGATCACTAAGTCTATTAATTCAAAATTTTATTGATCACTAAGTCTATTATATTAACAACACTGATTAATCTTGAACCAATTATACATACAAAAACGACAAAAACGCACACACACAAACACACAAATACAGGTGCAAATACGCAAATACACACATAATACAGTCACACACACACACACACACACACACACACACACACAAGCAGTCACACAAACATAAATATTCATACTTCATTGATGATAAAAGAAAAGATAGCAATAGGTAAGCAGAGGAAAATTTTTGTTGAGAATGGGATGTGGTCTTGTTCATATCTGTTCTCTTTTTGGCCTCCAATAAATTCAAGTTCATTGTTTATAGAAATTTCTTTAGAAGAATTCTTTTGAAAAAGGAATGTGCATGTAGTGTGCAGTTGTCTGCCACCATTTGTTTTGCACTTTATAAAATTTCCTCGAAAAAGTAGTGACAGGTTGCTCCTGCATTATTTTTATTTAATAAAATAAATAGAAAATGAAACTTATAATAGTGAAAAATCATATTTGCAAATAAAAAAAACTAAATAACAGAACAACTGTACTGTGCAACTACTAAGTAAAAGTGTACTTACCTGTTAAGAAACCTATTTTAATTCTTTATATTAGGACTAGTCATTTTTGATACAACTTCAATAAACATTTTAAAAACTATACTACTATCTCTTTTCTATCTACAAATTTGAGTAATATTGTTTTGTTCTTTTATAGATTATAATATAGTGTTATATGATTACTAAAATACTAATGCTGTATGTGTTATAAAGGGATATGTAACTGTAACTTCAATAGAACTAGTTAATGAGTATCTATAATATAATTTATAATAAAATGACATGTAGTAGATAACTATACTATTATATACATCCTAACACTCTGAGTCTGACTGAATGAAAGCTATATAAAAATAGATTAAATTTATTTCATGTTAAAAAGTGACATCTATATAAAAAATAAAAAACAATTAGCATTATTTAGTAAAAAAGTCAATATTTTAAGTTTTCAAATTAAAAATAGGATTGTTAAAGAAGTGAAAACAGAATCCTCATATCATCAGATCACATCACTAACCAACCTGCAGTACTTTAATTTAAATAGCATATCTAATATTATTATATAACTTATTAAATTAACATAAATATTTATCTATTTTTTTATTGAACTAACTGCTAACAAAATTAAAATTTCATCAGGATTTTATTACTCTTTAATTTATTTATAAATTATCAATTTCAAATTGTCATTATTACATATTTATGTATAATTTTTTGATAATTGTATATTTAAAAATATATTTATTACAAATACTAAATATATATTTCAAATAAATAAAATTTTATTTAGAAAAATGTCATTAACTAAAAGTAAACAATTTTAGTTAAAAGTGAACTCCATAGTTACAAAGGTTTAATAATAATGTGGATGATTGAACAGATCCACTCAAGGGGAGGCCTATTTACCATTATACAACACTTTCTTATGGGTTGAAGCAGGGATATGCAAAGAATCTCAATTTTTGCAACTTTTAATTATTTTCGGTAATGTTGATTTTATTTGTTTAAATTTATACCGAATAAAAGTAATTAATTACCATATTGAATAACAATTTAAAAAAATAAAATTTTAACATTTTGAATAAAAGCAATATTCCGTAATTAGTAAATATACTATCGTAACTTTTGACTCGAACGATAAAAAATCACCCTCCATCTCCCCTCCAAAAGTAAGCTCCTTGTTCGACCGTTGAAAGTGAGCGAAGGCCGTTATATTTATTCTAGTTATATGTATCAAACAGTATCTTATTGAACAAAATAGTATCATAAAATGAATAAAGATACTTTTTTTTAATTTAAAAAATTCTCAATTTGATTTCATTGCGATATCGATGATGATTGTGACCTGACTAATTAAAAAACATCAAATAAATTTTATAAAATAGGATGGGTATATCGTTGGGGTAAATGACGTCATGTTAACAGTAGTTATTTCACTAGATGGTAGTTGATCAGCCTGTATAAAGGTTATATTCAATTCCTATCAAATAAATTTGACCAAATATCATACGCAGGAAGAACTAAATAAAGAATTAGATAGATAGATATACGTAGTTATAATACATTTATAATGTTGTATTTCACATTCAAATCGTACAATTGTTTTATGGTTTAGTCTCAAATTATTTTGAATTCTCTCAAAAAATTTAAACTTTTTACTATATACTAGTTACTTTTAATAACAATTTTTAGAAAATTTTCAATTTGATTTCATCGCGATATCGATGATGATGATTGTGACCTGACTGATTAAAAAGCATAAAAAAATTTTGAAAATAGGATGGAGAATTTTTTATATTGGGATGTTTGTATATAAAGCGAGCAAAATTTTAAAATAAAAGGGCTTATAAATTTACGCATATTGGCTCGGCTTGGCTTGGCTTCGCTCGGCTTGGCTTCGCTCGGCTTGGAATCGGATGTTAAGCAAGGTGTGGTTTCAAACTATTTTGAATTCTACCCGAAGTAACTAGAATCCATGTATACAAATAATTAATAAGATTATATGCTTATATAAAAAGCCAATATAGCAGATTCAACCAGCCAATCAGAAAGTTTCGAAGGCGTTCGTTCGATGACGTCAATTTAATACGGTTAGCATTGTGGTTGAGACTGTATAATAGTGTAGTACATACATTAGATAAGTTTTTTACTGATGTGAATTATTGAAATGATGAAAATGTATAGTTGAAGCGAGTATAAATAGGCGCTGAGACAAAACGAAAATCAGATCAGGCATTCTGCTTCGCTTGAAGCAGTCTGTCTGATCTCATTTATTTAAATTTTTTATTTATTTATTTATTTTATTATATAGAGTTATATATGTTGCCTGTGGTTTGTGTGTTTGTATGTTGTATTTTTTTATATTTTAGGTGGGTTCTATAGCGGTTGCTTATGCATACATACATACATACATCATGTTTGTTTGTGTGGTAATAAGTTATGTTCTGTTTTACTCTTTTTTCTCTTTCTTCATGGGTCTTGAGTTAAGTTAATGAAACATAGGTAGGTGAGATTGAGATTAATTTAATATATAGGTAGGCTAGGGCATAAAGTAACTTAGTTACATAGGTAGGTTAGGGACTTCTATTCTTTTACTCTACTTGGGGGTGTGTTTTTTGTTTTGTTTTTTGTTTTGTTTTGTTTCACACCATACATATAACAGGTACGCGGTGGTTCCTGGTTTTAGTGGGATTTTTATTGATTGAATGTGGTAGTATGCGTGGTTATATAGAGTTATATAGAGTTATATAGAGTTATATAGAGTTATATAGAGTTATATAGAGTTATATAGAGTTATATAGAGTTATATAGAGTTATATAGAGTTATATAGAGTTATATAGAGTTATATAGAGTTATATAGAGTTATATAGAGTTATATAGAGTTATATAGAGTTATATAGAGTTATATAGAGTTATATAGAGTTATATAGAGTTATATAGAGTTATATAGAGTTATATAGAGTTATATAGAGTTATATAGAGTTATATAGAGTTATATAGAGTTATATAGAGTTATATAGAGTTATATAGAGCATAAATCCTATATAGATACCTTTATTTGAGGTTCTTTTCTTTGCCGACCGGTCGGCTTCTTTGCGTTTCTCTTTTTACATTTTAATTGATTAAACAAATATCATTTTTCCATTCATTTAGGTTCGTTCAGGTTCATTCAGGTTCATTCAGGTTCATTCATTCAGGTTGAAACTTCCAGAGGAG